ATTTCCCACATATAAAATCCAGAGGGAGTACAGATTGGTGAATTTAGTTCGTTCCAGCCGTGTGTACTGTAAAGTTCAAAATTTAATAGTTAGCCAGTTAAAAATTAAAATGGAATGGTTTAAAATAAATACAAATTTTTAGCTACAAATTCGGAAGTTATAGATGCTATTCCCGTATTCACCAGTGGCGTGAGGTTTTCGGTGTTTAACCTATTCCTACTATTACCTTTTACCCCTTAATAAATGCATAATTTATTTACGAAAACTCCTGTTAAAAACTTGGTTTAATTTACACTTCAACCCCAGTGCCGACCTCATAGTTTTCGGAACCCGGTGCAAAATTTATAGGGGCCTCTCATGGCCTATTTCGTCATGTATATCAAATATCAATTAATTAATTATTTATATAAACATATATATACTTCTTTAGACTTTATTACATAATTTGTGGCCTGTGGAGCCCCCACAAGAGCTGGGCCCGCTGGGCCCGGTGCCCATTCCCCTAACTGTTTAACCTCGCCCCTTTCAAAATCCTGGCTACACTATTTGCTACCGAGAACCTAACTATTATAAAACGTATAAAAGTTATAGCCATCCAAAGTTTGCGATTTTACGTTAATACGCATGCGCGCAACACTGCTTTTTAATTAGCCGTGGAGCGTAGCGGCGTATGCCGATACACGCGTAATCACTGCAACTTTTAATTCACATAACTTTTGAACGAGTGACCACACTAACGGCCATCGAGTCTGGCGACCGGAGCCGGTAGGTGACGGGAGGTCCTTAGAAACACGCCGATAAATCGCGCAAAATAAAATAAGTTTGAATTTGGTGATTAATTGCCAAGTGCCCATGTGTATATGCCACTCTAGACTTCGGTTATTCCATGATATAACTAATATATAGTTATATCATGGGTTATTCCAGCCTCCGGATATTAAATATGTATTTAATTGGTTTGGTACAATATCTTTAATCTTATTGGTTACGAATAACTCATTTGTCACGTACGTCTTCATAGAGTAGTGTTTTGTATTTGCTCGAGTAATCGTGTATTAAAAGACATTTATATATTTTTTTTTTTATTTAAAAATTTAATATTTAATGTTTATATTTTCTGGAMAACTTTCTTGTTTTTCAAAAATGAGCAAATCATCCACTGTAGTTTGGTATTATTTTACTTTGACTGGGGACAAAGTTAAAAGTGACTTGTGCTCTACTGCTACCTATATGAATTATAATCGATCTTCAACATCAAACAATCTTTTTTCTATGCATCTACGTTTGAAACATGTTGTAGTAGACATATCTATAAAAGAAAAGATTAGATGAAAAAGTTGATAATCCCAGCACCTAATTCAAATTTAGTGAGTACCTAAGTATTATATTTAAGTTAAAATTTAAAAATTTGTTTGGTACCTACCAATTAACTTAAATTTTTATTCTTATTATCTTATATAAAATTATCCTTTTCGTCCAGATAATAATAATAAAAAAGAATTTTATAATTGTTTATTATAAGAGGTTTAAGGTAGGTATTATAATACAAATAATAAAATTCAATAACGAAAGAATTATAAATTAAATAATAAATTCTATTTTATTTAATATTAAAATAAAACAATAATTTTTCTTAGACTGTTGTATCCCAAATACATGGTGATTCAAATGAAATACCAGGAACGTCAACTTCTACTGAACATTTTGTAGCTCGACCAGTTCAATCTAATATAACTCGCTATATATGATTGATATTTGATAGCCATACAACGCGCCACACCAAGTCACAAGCATTTATTTTGTATTTGTACAACATTTAAAAATGTATTCATTTATATCAAACAATCAATCAAAAATAGAATTAAGAAAAAAGCAGTTACTATATTTATTAGTTATTACTTATTACAGACATTACACACTTTTAAATTTTGAATTAAAAACTTAGAATTTCGTACTAAACATAGTGTGTAATAGKGCCTAATACTACACACAATTTTAGTCCCTGTAGGTAACCAGGTAAAGTAAGTATTCATTAGTGATTACTAATTAGTAGATAACACCAGAAGATTCTGTCAACATTCAAAATAGAACCATTATATTGCTATACAAACATAAAAATATGCTATAGAAACCATTAATCAACCAAGTAAACTTTCAATTTAGTTTCAAGTACCCAATAATCAGGGCCGGATTTAGAGGAGTGGAGGCCTCGGGGCATTAAAGAAGTGGGGGCCTCCTGGCCCCAAATTATTTAAAAATAAAATGAACAGTTTGGATGTTTTAGCTAAAGTTTCTTCAGATTTCTTGTTACGTTCTGCTTGCAATTTCCTCTTCTGAGAGCCACTAACAAAAACTCGAGGAGTTTTGTGGCAATCACTCATGATTCCACTATAAAGTAATCTCGCGTATTAGTTGTAGCCTTGTAATTATGGTTATGTACACCACTGTACCACTGTGTCTGTGTTAAAGCTTTATTTATCATATAGATAGTCACAACATTACCCAATAACATAAAATCTTATTTTGTTATTCACCCGCTAGGTGCGGAGACTATCAACTAAAAGTGTCCCCAAACACATACATTACATAGGTTATGATAAAACATTTCATTTTTAAGTCAGGAAAAWCATTATGAYATTATAGGTATTTCAAATCCTTTTGTCATATATACAGTGGATATTGGACTTAATATAATACAATGGCAGTTAATTTATATTTATATTGACAAAAAATTGAAATGTCATATTTTAACTTTTATTGCACCTATAACATTGATTTAAGTTGAAAAATGTATACTTAAAACAGTGGCGTATTTTTTTTTAGGGGGGGGGTGTCTTCCATGTCTTGACACCCCCCGACATTTAAAAAAAAGTCCTAATATATTGTCACTTATTTTATAGTATACTATTTTTATCAAATGTAAAACTTCTTGTCAATTCCTAACATATTAATTTGTTAAAAAATTAATTCAATATCTTTTTACATTAGTAAATAATACTAAAAATTTTGTTTTTGAGGTTCAATAAATGTGACACCCCTGGAGAAATCAACCAAAATACGCCACTGCTTAAAAATAAATATATTTAATTAATAAACTGGACTTTTGTTCGTCGAATTTTACGACAATCGGACTTTTTAGTTTTTTTACCGGACTTTTAGGTAGAATCCCCCTATTTTCAGCAAGGCTGTATTCTTAACAAGACTGATAGTTACAGATGAAAGTTATATAAGCACACAGACACAGTCCGATCAAGTTTTACTCCCAAGCAGAAGTTAAAATATAGCGGGAAATGCATGTAATCACCAGTTAGCACAGGAAGTATTTATAACTACTCCCGTAAATCAGGCCTATCAATTATAAAATTTCGTATTGCACGGTTWATTTTACTGCTCTAAACGGAAATTTTACTCTCGCTACTGTCTTAGAAAAAGTAATGTACTCGTATTACAGATATATAATTTTATTTGAATTTGTATATAATAATTTAAMAATTCAATAAAATAAAATAACAAAATTCAGGAAATCCCACTCATATTTCCTAGTAACTGTTATATTATTTAAATTTTGTTTAGTAAACCGTTATGCACACATCACGTTCAAATCATAGTGCACACTTAAATATTCGTGGAGCTCATTATCCATTTTTTTACACATATTTTTCATTCCTATCATCCGGGGCACATTATAATAAAATATAATTATAATAACAAACGCTCTATTAAACTTATTAATAAAAACAGAAAATTAAAACTCATGTTTGGACTATGAAAAGGTTGATACTATGATGGTTGATGCTTTTAATGCTAAAATGAGCGATTTATTAACTATAATAATAAA